TTTGAGGAGAATTAAAAGCAATCTTTTGTGTCTGTTTTCCTGTCCCTTTGCAAGCACCTACGTGAGCACATTTGTTCTACGTGTTTCCTCCATGTTATCAATAGGTTTATGAGTTTCGGAACGTCTTCAATAAGTTTAATATAACCAACCTACCAGACGATCCCCGTTTAGGGCTAGCGCATAATTTCCCGATTCGAATGGCACGTTCAAACGTGTGGTCACGTGCAAGATCGAACGGGCACCTGTATCAAACGGTCACCCGTATCAAATGGGTACCGTTTCGAGCGGGTACCGTTTCAAACGGGTACCCGTATCCCATAATCACGTTTGATCCAAACGGGTCGACAAGTTTGCACCCTTTTGATTTACCAGTTTGCCACCCGTTTGAATTTCAAATGGTTTTTTTCAGTAGGGATATCATCAAAATAATAAAAAAAAAAAAAAAAGATTGCGGATGGATGTGTTAGGTCTGAGAGCATAAAATCATTAGAAGCACATTCCTAACTTTGACCGACGAAACGGTATCCTCATCATTACCATTTATCAAATATTTTAGGGCATGAGCCCTAAGATATTCGAGCATTGCAAGGGAAATGAGTTGCAGTATTTATTCTGTAAAAGCAAACCAACAAACAAACAAAACGTTAGCACTGAAATGCCCTTGTACGAAACACCAAACTTTAGCAACAGAAAATAAACGAGACAAATAAAATGTTTATATATATACAAAGTAGAAAAAAGTTAGTCAATGAATATGCTGTCTAAGTGCAACTGCAAACCGTCACGGTTAGCTGCGCTCTAAAAGTAGTATGATCACTTTGGGTCCCAATGTTGCAAAGCAGGTTATTCCAGTCCACTCTCGTTAATGGCAAGAGGAAGTCAGGAAACGAGACATTAAGTGAGGAGTAGAAGGGTATGCACCGCTCTCGTGAAACGCGCTTGGCGCCACCGCATTCGCGCCAAGTTTCACCGCTTTGCTCCGGCCTGAAATGAGAAGCAGCTGACGCGGAGGGGCGTATCGTCAACTCGGTGGACTCGGAGGCTTGCTGCAATAGCCGTTAGAATAAGTTCATTGCCCTTAAGTAGTGGTGGATCATTATTGCAATATGGGTGCGTGATTGATATGTTACGGCACATTAATCTCAATCGCTGCGGACCAACGAATGAACGATCAATGACGTGTCCGTCACGTCCACGCACCCAACTCATCCTATACATATTTGCAAATCAGTCTCAGTAACAGCTTTGGAAGTCTAACTCTAATATAGTCAAATTACCATTTAATTAACGATCGATGATAGTGTCTGTCACGTACCGCACTAAAGGGGCGTTTTCTCCTACATACACTGCTGCGCTGCGGAGAAGCGAAAGAGCAACGAGCTGCATGCCGAATATATTTAGGATTACACCTTCGTATAAACGAAAGAATATTTTCGGCTATACCAATATTCCCGGCTGCGCTTGCGCAGTTGGGCAGGCTCGGACCGGAGTGGAAAGATAAAACGATCTACTAAAACTCCCGACTGTGGGGACGCTTTCTTTCTTTTCCTTTGTTGGTAGCATACATTCCGCTCCCATAAAGGTGAAAGGAGCTGACGACGCGAATTCCCGCTTCGGGCTTTCAGAGAGGTCAGCAGGACGGAGGAAATGTGCTTTCCTGATTCGGCGTGCGGCGCGCGCAGTGTATGTGGAGCGCTTGGTAAAAGGAGCGCGGACCGCCAGAATCTCGCTACGCATGCCCACTCGGGTGGTATGGCTTCATCGCAATGCACGAGTGCCGTCCGAGAAGCCCACTTAACACCGCCGACAAGGGGCGTGCCGCGATATTTCCTTTTCCAGGGGTTTAGAGCGCCCCAGGTTGATTTACCTTTATCAAAATCGAACTCACAATTAATTTCCCGAAACACGCTTTAAAACAAAAGAAAACATGCCTGGACAGGACACGAGTATCACCAGATACTGCACCCTCACCGCTGCTACAAAACTTAAGTTGCGAGACGCATTTAGAGATTGGAAGGCCAAAAGCGGCACCTATTTTGAGACCAACGTCACAGTGACGTCAGTGTAGGAGTCACCCTGCAAGGCCTCTTATTGACCGGAAGAAGCACAGAAGAACAGGTGCTCCCGTTCGTACGTACCCAATAACTCCTGATAACAAGGCGCCGGGATGCTGGAGTCCCTACGTCACCTAAAGAGGCCAACGCGGGGCACCATTCGCGCTCCGCGTTTGCCTCTTAGGTGACGTATAAAATTAAGTCGTCCGGACTTGCTCTCTATAGAAGGTGTTGAATCAACACCGCTTTCACGACGAGGCCGTAGTGCTCAATTTTCTACGTCACCTACTCCAATGCTGGCACAGACTGCACATGAGCGCATGCGTCAGGTTTCTGCTGACGCTTGCGCTCGTCAGCGTTTCCAGACGAACGCTTACGCAGCACATCGTGTCCAGTCTGCGCCTTTGTCATCCATAGGAGGTGTTAGTTAAACCCCTCGATCGAGAGGGTGTGAATATATGCACCGTTTACGCACTTCCGAATCAGACAAACGCTTACACAGCATATCGTGTCCAGTCTGCGCCCTTGCCATTCATAGGAGGAGTCAGTTAACTCCCTCGATCGAGAGGGTGTATATATATATATATATCAGTGTGTCGAACCGAAAAAAATACGGGTTCGGTTACGGTTCAGGTTCAGGTAAATTAATTTTGTTCCGGTTCAGTTCCGGTTCGATTAATTCAATCCGCGAACCGGTTCACGAACCGGTTCGGGGCGCTGAACCGGTTTGCGAACCGGTTCGGAAAGTATAAATGACAAATTGCAACATCAAAATAAATTACAAATAAAACATCTGAAATCAGCACATACGAAACGGGATACATCGTATTGTAAGGCTCAGGGATTTCTACCAGGAATGGTTTCTTTATGTGCACTCAAAGGTTACCTCACCGACGTTTACGCATTCGGACTTCATCTAATTGGGTCCGACGCAGTAGCTGTAAAATCCGCGACCTCCTTACAAACCCACTTACAAGTAGAAATCGCTAACTATCCCGCCACCTCAGCGTGTAAGCAATTGAAGAAACAGTTGGGAGAAAATACAGCTTTCTTTATTTGAACTAGCCTTCGGTAACTCAAATTAGACCCTTAAAGAAGTTTACATTAAACAAGATACGGAATATGAAAAACACTTCACCGAACGCAACGCCAGAAGGACGTAATAGGATAAATATTAAAATAGAAGAGTTCGGTGTCTCACAAATATGTTCGCTTCTAAGTGCCTATACGAAACCGGATGCATTATTATCAAACTCCACAGCCTTTTCTTTTCTCATTCCGATGGAAGCAAGCTTCAAGAATTCGCGCGTTCTAGAAACATGTTATGAAATGAGCACACACAGTAGCATTTAGGATTTACGAGATTGTAGGAAAATGAAATCCCGTGACGCGATTTTTTTTTTTTTCACAGCCTTCCAATTCTCTTTTTTCCGTGCAAGCCGCGACCATGCGCAATACTGGTTCCTATGTCAAGATTCATGGATGCAGTGTTTGTCAAGATTCATGGATGCAGCGTTTATATTCCTAAGAGTGAGTGGAGAAAAAAAATATGTAAGCGAGGTGTGTGTCAGTTGACGGCACTTTAAAAATCAAATGGCATTGATAGCACATTCATTGTCAACAGCGCGTGGCCGAACCGTTTTGACATGAGCCGGTAACCGTTATTTTTTTTCCGGTTCAGTTCCGGTTCGGGTTCATCGCGATAACAATATAACGGATCGGGTTCAGTTCCGGAAAAAATACCGGTTCAGTTCCGGTTTTCGGTTTGGTTCGGTTCCGGTTCGACACCCTGATATATATATATATATCGGGTTCGGGTTCAGTTCCAGAAAAAATACCGGTTCAGTTCCGGCTTTCGGTTTGGTTCGGTTCCGGTTCGACACCCTGATATATATACATATATATATAAACGAAATTGTGCAGATGAATGAACCGTACTTAATCCAATGAATTAAAGAATCCAAGTTTCCAGGAACCCGCCGAAAGCTAAAAAACGGCGGAGCCAGGATTTGAACTCTGGGCCTCCCAATGTCCGGTCGGGTGTGCTAACCACTACACCACTCCACCTTGGCTTCCTGGCGTTTCCTACCTGTCTTATTAATGCACAAGAAACGAAATGTGTCCAATCGGAGGTGTTCTGGAAACAGACGCCGCCGCGTGGAACGCGGTACGACGCCTCCGATTGGATACACCTCCATTGGAAACACCTCCGATTGGATACATTTCGTTTCTTGTGCATATACACGTACGTATATATACACGTACGATGGTGTGAAGTGCCCGTGTTGTATATATATATATATATATATATATATATATATATATATATATATATATATATATATATATATATATATATATATATATATAACAGGGTGTCGAACCTGAACCGAACCAAACCGAAAACCGGAACTGAACCGGTATTTTTTCCGGAACTGAACCCGAACCCGATCCGTTATATTGTTATCGCGATGAACCCGAACCGGAATATATATATATATATATATATATATGTGTATGTATGTGTGCACCGTTCACGCATATATATATATGTATGTATGTGTGCACCGTTTACGCACTTCCGAATGAGACGAACGCCTACGCAGCATATCGTGTTCAGTCTGTGCCCTTGCCATCCATAGGAGGTGTTAGTTAACTCCCTCGATCGAGAGGGTGTGTACATGCACCGTTAACGCACCGCTGAATCAGACGAACGCCTATGCAGAATATCGTGTCCAGTATGTATGCGCCCTTAATTGTTATCCGCAGGAGGTGTTAATTAACTCCCTCGATCGAGAGGGTGTGCTTATATACACCGTTAACGCACCTCTGAATCAGGCGGACGCTTATGCAGAATATCGTGTCCAAACTGCGCCCATGCCATACAAAGGAGGTGTTAGTTAGCCCCCTCGATCGAGAGGGTGTATACATGCAGCGTTTACGCAC